GTAATGCATGATGAACCAAACAAATACCTTCGGTAATGAACTCACGCAAGAGCACCAACACCCAACAACATCGTTTGCTGAAGATAGCAAAGATAAAAAGGATTGTTGTCAGTCGAGAATGGAAGAGCTCGCGAGAGTTTGGAGAGAAGGTGTAATCGATCAATCCACAGGGATTCGCTTCTTGCATGCGTGGTGAATGGTGGGAAAATTTAGCCTTCATTTCTACATCGGTCATAAACAAACCCAATGTAAAACAACTTTGTGGTTTCATTTCTACATCTGTCAATAGCAAAATCGATGTATAATTGTCCTTATTTACATTGTTTCTTCATAAAATCGACGTAAATATGTTTATATCTTCTATTTATTTACAAAATTGTCATTGCATTTTTTACTTACATCATTCCTATTGGAACCGATGTAGATATAATGATATTGAACAATATTTTTCTAGTAATGTCTGTTTATATATATTTGGTATGAAATAAAATTCAAATACTTGTGCTTATAATTATTTATTGTAGGTAAAATCTAAAATATCATTACTATACAACTCACATAATAAGCAAATAAATTACTTTGAATCAATATAAAATAGATATTTATTTACAATAATTTTTTAGTGAAATTTTTTGTCAATCAATCAAAAATAAATTTTCTTGTAGTGTATATACTAATGTATACTAAGAGAATGAGGGATATCATATGAGGATACTTTTGAAAGTTGGGATACGTTATACTTTACTAATTGAAGTTGAGTTGTTTTTAGCTAATTAACATCAATGGAGTGCATCTTCTCATTTCAAAAGCAATATTAAATTCTCTATAATTCCTTTCGTTTTCATTAAAATTACAATAATAATAATAAAATTTAAATGTAAGGATTATAACTATAACCTATAATAATAATAATAATAATAATAATAATAATAATAATAAAAAAAAAAAGACAAGTAGATTGTTTTATATCTTATTATAATGATCAATTGATAAGCATTCAGTACAATCAGTAATGCTCTAACATTCACTTCCTCTCTATGAAGAAGATGAATGACAATGCAAGGCAAAACATTGTTAACGACTAGCTTTTGAAGAAACCTATATACACCAAAGTTAAAATCACATGAGAAAATACTTAAGTATTATAAATCAAAGGTTAAATAAAAATAATTAAAATAAAATATTTTGATAACACTTAAATTAAAATAAAATAAATAAGTACAATACTTAACTATTATAAGTTTAAATAAAATTAAATTCATACAAATTTAAATAAATTAAATATTAATAAATATAAATATTCACACGTAATTTATATCTCTCCGTTAATATACGAATATAAAAATTTACTTATTATTCATGAGTACCCATTTATAATATCAATTTTCTATCCAATACTAGTGATTTTATATAAATTTTTTAAGATCCCTAGTACTAACAACCTCAATTAAATTCATGATCGATTCATTATTAGCTGATATTTACGACTTACGCAAGAGGGGTGTCAAATGTTTTGGCCACCGGCCTGCTTCTCTCAGTATAAAGTATGATCAAATTTCTTTCGTTTTCTCATCCAATATTGATGTATATTTCTTGCCTTTTGACGTAGTTAAAGGAACTAATTTGTAATTATATAACACTAACGAAATTGTGGACCTAACTCAAAGCACTTGGTACCACCACCGCCCACATCACCCATCTCTGATTTCCATTTAGATGGCTCATCATAATCATACATACAGGCAAACGTGAAGAAAGAAAAGAACAACAAAGAGATGAAATAAAAGAATAAGAGACCAATGGAAAAGGAGTGGTCCCTCTCAAGCAACATTGCAGCAATGGTTTTGTTCCACACTTGCTTTTTTTATTTTTTCTATGAATTAATGGATCTCTTTCTTTGTCCCAAAGTATCTTCTTTTCATTCCTGGATGAACGTACATTGATATGATGACCGTTAAATACGGCCATTTAATTGTTCAATAAAAAAATATATAGATAATTCAGTCAAATTTATTTTTCAATAATGTAAAAAAATATTAAGCTAAAATTACCCCGTTAATAAATGTCATTTTTCTCTTGATTTTTATAAATACTTTAATTTGTTTTTTCAGAGACAATACAATTCTATTTAAAAACACGATCATAGGGAATTAATTTCTTTGAAAAATTCGAACTTTGATTCATAGGGAATTAATCCTTTCCACTGAATCCACTGAACACAACTTTCATCGATCAGTTCTTGCTAATAATTAATTGTCTGATAACACGTGCATACATTTATTTAGGATTAGTTACAAAATCCCGGGTAGAAAATAAGAAAAGTAATATGAAACTGGAGAAGCAGGAAT